ACTACGTCCACCTGAAGCTCGGCCAGCGCGGCATCGCCGTCATCGCCTCCACGTGCCACATCGTCGCCTACATCATCATCTCCCAGCACCCGCCCTACCCGGCGCTGGTGGCCGCCTTCGTCGTCGCCGGCTTCGGTAACGGCCTGAGCGACGCCGGGTGGAACGCGTACATTGGCAACATGGCGAGGGCCAACGAGGTCCTCGGCTTCTTGCACGCGTTTTATGGTGTCGGCGGCGTGATTGCCCCTTTGATTGCTACGACTATGATTAACAAGGCGAACTTGGGTTGGTGGAACTTTTACTACTTCATGGTGAGTACCAGACACCTCTCACCCTCTACCCATTCTCTGTAACGAAGAGAGTATCTGAGCGTTTCACATTTTCTAACTCTACGACAACGTCCCCAGCTCGGCCTGGCCTCCATCGAGCTCGTCTGGTGCACGGCGGCCTTCTGGACGCAAACCGGCGCAGTCTACCGCGAGCTGGTAAGCCACTCCCGCAGCGACAACGCCGGAGGCGGCCTCCGCACCGCTCTCCTCAAACGCCCCTACGCCCGCGTCACCTGGCTCTGCGCCCTCTTCCTCCTCGCCTACGTCGGCACCGAAGTCTCCCTCGGCGGCTGGATCGTGCAGTTCATGATCCAAGTCCGCAAAGCCAACAACTTCGACTCGGGCATGACCTCGGTCGGCTTCTGGCTGGGCATCACCCTCGGCCGCGCGGTCCTCGGCTTCGTGACCCCCAGGCTGGGCGTCAAGCTCGCCGTGTCGGTCTACATCCCCATCGCCATGGCGCTCGAGCTGGTGTTCTGGCTCGTGCCGCACTTTTACGTTTCTGCCGTGGCGGTCGCGCTTCAGGGGTTCTTCTTGGGTCCGTTTTTCCCGGCCGTTGTCGTCGCCGCGACGAAGCTGCTGCCGAGGCATCTTCATGTCAGCACCATTGGTTTTGCGGCGGCGTTTGGCGGTAGCGGAGCGGCGATTTTGCCATTTGCTGTCGGCGCACTGGCGCAGGCGAAGGGTGTGCAGGTTTTGCAGCCGATCATTCTCGCCTTCTTGGGGATCATGCTCGTGTTGTGGCTGTGTCTGCCGAGGATTGGACATAAGCAGGAGTAAGGGGAGTGGGAAGAGATCAGGTGGAAAAGGATACCAGGTATATCGTATGTATATACGCAAAGTGTGGCCTTCTGAAAGAAACATTGCAACTCGAGTCTACCTCGGAATGAGGATGCCCAGATGTACTTTGCATCATATTTGGAGATTGAAGGTCTTCATCCCACGGAAAACAAAAAATCGAATAGAATTTAAATCTGCTTGAGTGGTATTACTTGAGACTTTATTGGCGTAACAAGAAGAAGAGGTGGTTATAACATGGGCAGTATGGCAAACCAGAGCTGGACAGGTTGACTTCGCGATAAACAAGTACGAATCACACGGTGAACTAGAAAAGCAGCCTGCGTTTTTACAAATGGATCGTAAGAAACACTTAACTACTAATCAAAATGCACTGCAAGACAGGAGGTTTATGTGAGTGGTTTGCCTGATTCGGTTCACTACAACAAAAGTTCATCTTCTTGGGATTTGCGTGCGCTGACTGAAGCCTGCTTGATTCTGGATGTGCAATGTCACCACGGATCCATGTCCAGCCAAAAGAAACATTTCAGAATTGTCAGTTGGCCAGGATGCATGATTCACCTTGAAAGGAATATTGGCAATGCAGTATAAACGATTCAAGTGGGGTGGTATCATAAGAACTTAAGGTCAATTGAAGTGTAAAAAGTAGCGGCAGAGACATAGGAACAAAGGGAAGGAAAAGAAAATCGCAGCATTGAAAAGCTGGCATACGGAAAGTTTCATAAGTGACCCGGACCCGAACAAAGCAAATAGGCCGGCCAGCGCCGGGAATGTCTCACTCCACCGGAAGCAAACGCATCCCAGAAAATTCGGGGCTCCTGCACTCCGGGATCGGCACCGTCGGCCCGCTCCGACTCGGAACCGTGTCGGGAAACCTGCACTGCATACTGCCAATCGCGAAACACCTCACACTTTTTTTTGTCCCAGACACAGCAGTGTTGTCGCCTTGTCTCACACGCCCCTCTCTAGAAACTACATCAGTTGAGTTCAACGTCGCCCAGAAGACTTCCCCGCGATCTTCTTCCCAACCACCTCTTTTCCGGTCCGACGGTTCAATTTCGCCCACCCGCACAGACGGCAGGAATAAGAGGGGTGAGATATCGACGATTCCCATTTGACAGCTGATAAGGAGGGAAAACCAAACCAACATCTACTCACAACTTTCTTACAAGCACGGGATATCCTCAACAAGACAAAACGCAACAATTGTAACAAGATGGGTTCCCAACCAACAATAGATATGGATTTTGTAGCTCTTCCTAAAATCGAGGTATATTTTCAAGAGAACCCTTACGGATATGAGACCTATAGCTATGAACACCCTCATCTGACACCATCACAGCTCCACGCCCACTTGACGGGCAGCATAAGCCGTCGCACCCTCCACGACATCTGGGTCGTTAAGCACGAGGCGGGAGAAACGGACCTCGAGGATCCCCTCGTCGTGATGCCGGACGGCAAACACGACTACGACCTCACCACGTAAAACCTGACCTCGCCTTTCCCCCTCAAGAACCTCTGCTCCCTGGCTTGGATGACTAACAAACACACTCGGCACACAGCTTCTTCCCCCTCTTCTCATCCTACATCTACAATCTCATCACCGACGTCGACACCCTCCGCAAAGCAACCCTCTCCGTCCTGCAAGACTTCCAAGCAGACGGCGTAACCTACCTCGAACTCCGCACCACCCCGCGCTCCCTCCCCTCGCCGACCCCCCAGCCGCCGTCCGTCTACGTCGCCACCATTCTCTCCGCGATAGACGCTTTCGAGGCATCTTCTAGGGATAACCCAAACGCCATGCGCACCCGCCTCATCCTCTCCGTCGACCGCCGCCATACCCCATCCCAAGCCCACGAAACAGTCCGCCTCGCAGCCTCCTTCCGCGACAAGGGCGTCGTCGGCGTGGACCTCTGCGGCGACCCGGCGGCCCGCGTTCACACTGGCCAGGACGATGACTCTGAAAACATCTCCATCTTCCGCCACGCCTTCGCCGAAGCCCGGACCCTCAACCTCGGCATCACGATCCACTTTGGCGAGGCAGAGTGCTCCGGCCACCCGGCGGAGCTTGCCGAGATCCTGTCGTGGTCGCCGCGCCGGCTGGGCCACGTGATCCATCTCGGCGAGGACGTGAAGCGGGAAATCGCCAAGCGTGGCATCGGGCTCGAGCTGTGTCTCAGCTGCAACGTTCACGCGGGTATGGTGACGGGCGGGTTCGAGGGCCATCACTTCGGGGAGTGGTGGGGTGTGGAGGGGAGCTTGATATCTCTGGGCGTACGTTCCTTTTTCTCATGGTTCTTCTTCCCTCTGAGGCCTCCAACTCCGTTTTTGAGAACCTTTTCGCGACGCTCATCTGTTGTTCAAAGGGCAAGGCATGTTAGCTAACTCTCAAAATCAAACCAGACCGACGACGTTGGCGTCTTCGGCAGCCCGTTGTCCAACGAGTACAGGCTGGTAGCGGAGCACTTCAAGCTCTCCCGCGACGAAATCTGCGCCCTCGCCCGACGGGGCATAGAGACCATCTTTGCCGACGAGACCGAGAAAGAACGTCTCCGGCAAGTAATGTGGAAACCTGCCGTCACCACTACTGTAGCTGCTGCTCAACAATAAACAAGTGCCGTATCGCATCGATGAACCGAGTAGACCGAGAAACGATCTAGCAAAGGGACCTGCAGACGTGCTAAAGGGCCATATCGAGATAGCGATTGTCGACAACTTCATCAACAAACAATTTCCTGGGATGGAAATTTCGGTCCAACCCGGCGTCTATTAGGATACCCATATTCAACTTGTTCTTATACCGGTCCTTGCACCGGACCGGTACAAGACCCCGAGGGCCGGACGTTCGCTTCCGAATTTCCGGATCGGGGTCGAGCGAGAGTCTTCGTGATGCTGCCCGCTATGCCTGCCTGAACGTCTTGCCGTGTACGAGCACGAAGTTTTCCGTAGGCTCCCCCGTGAGACGGAGAATGATTGGGCAGTTCGGCAAAGCGTTGACTTGGTTGCTTCTCGATAGCAGAGAGGTAGATCTTGTGTTTAATGAAATTTCCCTCGGCTCAACCCCCCTCTCGAGTACTTTGTCTGCCATACGGGCGGGCGGCCGGGTAGGCAGGCCAATCGACTGCCCACCATGACTTAGAATCGATATGGCCGATTCGCATCAAAAGCAGCAATCTACGGAGACCCGCCTTGATTAGCTTTGCTTTCGGCACCTTGCAACTTACCGAGTAACACTGTTCGCGGGGTCCCGTTTTGATACTCGGTGAAATCTGGCCGGACCGGGCCTGGGCTAGCCTGAATCTGGGTTGGTCCAGCTTCCGTTCATTCAGATTTTTAATTCTCCCATTGTGACCAGAAGAAAGATTCTAGCGAGAGATTTCGATTGTGCTATTGTCTGCTGCTTCGTAACAGACGTTCAACGCCTTTAGAAACGTACTGCACTTCACCAGTACTAGGAATGCGGCTGGCTATCCCAACAAGCTTTTGATGGTAGGAGATACGCTATGCTGAATTGAGGAATGACTCTACAAATAGCCTTACGAAACTCTAACAGTGGCTTCCGTTAAGTCTACCAACTCTACCGAGTCAATGCTTTCGAAGCACGATGCAGTAGTTCGCCATCGTGTTAAAGGCAGAATCCGGAATCGTTGATACTGTATTACTGATAACCAGGTCTGTGCAGCAAGTAGGTGCTACAAGTAGGCAGACGCATGTAATGCCCAAGTCGAGACGGCGTCTTACATAATTGTCCAAGCGTGCAAGCTACGTTGGCATCCCTTGAACATGGAGGCGTGGGAGGCTGTCTTTGGGAAGCAAGATCTGTTAGATGGTTCCCGCTAGACCGAACGAGCGTTTGCCAGCAGCAAGGACGTGTCAAGCTGCCAGTAGGGTCCTCCTCCTCGCCCTGTGCTGTTGAGGAGAGGGAGGCAAGCATACCGCCCAAGTCGTAGGGCTAAGAAACGGCAAAATGTCTCGTCTGCTGCAGCCTCGAGGCTTGGTGGTGGTCCTGCTTGTCAAGTGTGCCACACTTTGGCCCTCACTGCCTCGGCCCTATGGAGAGTGGCAGAAGTATGGGTTGGCATTTTGTTGTCCAACATCGTCGTACTAGGCCCGCGCACTCCGCGGACTGCCTTACAGGAGTATACTCCGGAGGCAGATTTGCGAATTGTGAGTAATAAACCATGGCACGATCTTCATTCGTCTTAACATTTCGTTGAGACGACACACAGACCTCGTCGATTTCCTGGATCATCGACGGGAGCCAGACGAGATCCGTCATGCCACCCGTAGGAAAAGTGATCCCGGCGTCGAAATGTGAAACGGCAAAACATGGAGCCAGAAGTACAAGAAAGCATCTTTCAAAAGGCAGCGACCTTCGGATAGGTAGCTCAGAGCATTGGGGTTATCACGGGGCGAGGATCCGTACCAACGTTCAATGCAAGTGTGAAAGAGACAAAGGGGGAATGGCAGTGACTAGAAGCGTGTAGCAAGCGGATTCTATCCGTGATCCCGGGTGGAATAGGAGCCCGTGCGTCTCCCGCCCAGCGGAGAAGACTGATCGGCGGCCGTCGAAGATATCAAAGGTGCCGATAAGGATACTTACGACGACATGTCCTGACTCTGGGCAATGTACCCCGTTCTATAATCTCGTGTGTCTATCAATACCCAATGACCAACTGGTCCGTCATCAAGTAGGTTTGCGGAGATACACGAATTCCTGCGGAATCTATATTGAGCCCTCGCCGAGCTGGAACGGGAGCGAGGCAGTGAATCTGCTTGTCGGTGACGTTGACTGCGACACATCTGTCAAAGCTTCGACCTGGGCAAAATCGAACAATTGGCTGTCAGATTCAGTCTCTTTCGATCCATCTTGTAACATGCTTCGCGAATCAGATGAGCTGCCATCATGCGCCATTGTGCTTCGATGGAGGCCTTACCAACCCAAATTCGGTATGGGGTCGAACTTGGACTGCCGATGTACCGCACAGTGCGAGCGAGATTGAGGGTTGCTTTCTGATATTCGACATCGTCTGGCGTCAGCAGAGGTATGTAGTTGTATTTAGCGTGTAAGCTAGGTACGCCATACCTGTTATGCGCCTGGCCAGTCCTGTTCACCAGGAGAGCGTATCCGGGCGGCAAAATGACATCGCCGGCGGATATGACACTGCCGTAATTCGCCTAGTCAGACGATTTGTCGGTGGCACTATAAGAGGCTCTTTAGATGCTGGGGCTGACGGGCTCCAGTCTCTCAACATGAAGGAAATATATAGCTGAAGCCTAAACCGCCTAAGGTGGCACAAAAACAACACGACATTCCACAAGGTTACTCTTAGGCTAGTGAGAGGTGGCGCAGGGTTGAAGCAGAACACGGGTACCAACAGCGATGGGCGCCCATACCAAACACAAGGATAGGAGCGTCGACTTACAGAAGTCTCAAGGGATAGCTGTTGAACACCAAAAAAAGAAAAAAAAAAAGAAGGAGATGCGTGGTTTCGTGCTCTCTACATCTCAAGCGACGATGTATGAGTGTCGAGTATATATGTAGGCTCATCGATTTGGTTTGATGCCTTTTTGCTCTTCAGAGGAGACATGAGACGCGATTTGGCACTGCCTGTACTTTCCCGAAAAGTACCGACAGTTGGCTATTCCGCGCCTGATATGGGGGCGCAGGATTCGGCAATGATGTTAGACGACGCAAGGGTAAAAGAAGTCAGAGTTGGGTGTCCGTCTGGAATCGTACGTATACCGTCGCCGCGACTAAAGTGCAAACGGCATCATCTACTAATCATGTGTTCCGTCTGCAAAGTAAAAAAATGGCAGTGGGGGCGGCATGCTTGAAGTGTGTATGCTGACATCGTTTTTGATGGTTTTGATATCGGCATGCTTGCTTCGCTCATATACGATCATCGACATGGACCAATACAGTGAGTAAAGGCGAGGCATTCTCTTCCTCTGACCTCAAAAAGAAGCAACGCCGGAAGCTTGGGGCTAGTGATGGCACCGGCTGGCTTGAGAGCGAGAGCTTGGGCCGCCCACCCTACTGGAACCACCGGAAGATGACCCTGACGGGTGATGGGAAAGCTTCGTTCCGGATACATCCTCAAAGCTTCGACAACGAGAGGAAAGGGCCGTTGTCAATACAAGGCGGCACTGGGGTCGGCGATGCGGCGACAGATCTACCGAAGCGTCAGGCCGTGATCTGTAATGGTTACGACAAGGTCTGACTTGAGATGAGATCGAGCGATTGGGACGACGGCAAAACTGGTGATGCCGGAAAAGCAAAACAGCCAGAAGGGAGCGAGCTTAGCTTGCTGGGCTGCTGTGTAACAAGTGGAATAGATGGGTGGTTCGCCCAATCATCCGAGGGCCCCGGTTGACTGACGATGACGGCTCCCACCCGCGCAGCGACCCGGCAAGGAAGTGATTGGTCTTCTTGTCTAGGTATGCCTTTTGCCCAATTCGTGATTGTCGCCACCTGACATCTGGGGATTTCTCGAACAAACGTTTGAGTTAGATCTGCACTTGGACCAAGGGCTCGTCATCATCGTTGTTCTGGCCCTGATCCTCGTTCCAGCCCTAGGTAGTCCCTCCAACTGGAAAGGTATACCGGTAAAGAGTTGAAGACTGTGTTGATGGCTGTAGCTACCTTTCTGGAGGATAAGGTTTTCGGATGGTTCGCCGAAAACTTTGCCAACGTCCAGCAGACTCGGTGTGCTCAAGTCGCATGTTGCCCGTCCTATTTAGGTTTCGAGTTCTGCCATCGATTTCCTTGCTGAACCCTAATGCTGCTGGGCATTTCTGGCTACGTTGAGCTGGCAACCGCTGATCGCTTCCAGAGCGAGGCCTAAGCCTTTCGAGCAAGCATCGTGGATGGTATCTGTCAGGTTCAAACGAAAGAGCAATACGGTTCAGCTACTAGCGACGAGAGGCGAGGGGTAGATGTTCGTAGTCGGAATGGTTCTATTTGGCAAGCGCTGCCGGTGCGGCTTGCGTATCCCCGCCTCCCAGAGGCTGTATTCTGGCATTGGCTGTGTCCTGGTCGTATGTGGTCCGCTGAAAGAAAAGGATAAAGAGTGCGTCAAGAGAAGACGCTCTCGGGAGCAATAAATATGTCAGCGTCCAAAATGCCCTAACCACAGCGACTGAGTTCAGATCAGAACTGCAGGACTCCGTAGGGTAGCGGCGATTTACGCATATTCGTCTGCTTGGTGAGGTGATGTGGACGTGGATTGGGAAACGTGGTGCACAGGTCGCGGAACAGCCGGTGCAAAGAGTGGTGGTAGTGTAGGTAGATATTCGTACGTCTGCTTCGTACGGATAGTTAGTTGCTCGATTAGCAGCCTATCAGGGATGTGCCAACATAACTGGACCCGACTGCATGCTGCAGTGCTGCACAGAATTAGATGGGAAGCCGGTACCTGAGACTCTAGATACGGCCTAGTGTCTGTATCCAATCTACTTTTTATGCAATGCATCTTAGCTAGAGCGACCCACATTGCAAGGCACCCTACAGGTAAAGTGCAGCTCACTGTGAGAGAAACAACGGGTCATCTGAGTGGTCTGTGTCTCTTGCGATAGATAGTACGACTTCGCTTACTGATGGGATCGCTGGCTTTCGGGTTGGCTGGTCGTCTTGATTCTTTGTGTCCGAACTGGATACCGTGCGGTTAAGGTAGCCGAGAAGCGCAAGCGCAATGTCCGCAGCTTGCACTTGGAAAGCGAAAGGGGGGGGGGGATGTTTGTGCGAATGCGTAATACCGGAGGATCAAATTCTTCTGTCAAATAATACATGGGTGTATCGAGCCGCAGTGTTCCCCAAAGGAGATAAGACTGCCGAATATCTGGTCGTAGTTCATGATTGTCTCCATTGATCGAGCACAACGTTGTCAGAAAGGCAAGACGAGTATGAATTCTGTAGCATATCAGCGTTGATACAGCACCAAGCAAAAGTATAGAGACCGACCGACCTACCCTTGTGCGTAATCGAGATGGCGTAGGCAATCACCGCCTCTGTGCATTCTGCGGCTGCGAAAGAATGATATGAGGGTGATTTGGGCAAATCCCGTTTTGCTCTGCCGTTCAGATGCAAGGTTGGCTGCTCAGGGCAGGAGAGAAACAAAAGTAGACCAAAGGCGTCGAGCATCCAGGCGTCAAGCGTCGTGGTTGCATGTCGCCAAGAAAGGTTGGAGGAGGAGAAGCCTTGGGAGGGAGGGTGCGCAGCCGGTGCGGCGGCTCCTTCTCCACTTTCTGACGCGGGAGGGGCGGTACGTACCGTGGGATGACTGACCAATGACAACCCCAGTCTGCCGCAGCCTCCCATCTGGAAACACTCCCGACAGGGGTTAAATGAGTAAATGAAGGTGCACTGTGCTTTTCTTCTTTTCAATGTCACTCAGATGGCAGGAGCCGATACGCCTTTTCCTGTTTCCGCAGCCAATCTTTTGCCCGGGAATCAATTGTTGCCTTTTCTTACTTACTTCTGTCTGAACAGGATATACTTTCATCAGGAGAGATGCTTTTTTGGGAATAACCCATGTATGTATTCATACGGTTGCATAGGTATTCTCAGGTAATAACATCAATGGTAAGGCGGTACGGATACTTGCCAGAGGTATGATGTTGCATCAAAAGACGAGGTAAAGGATTGAATGGCGCGATAGGGAACACTGCAAAAGTCAAAATCTTGACCGAGGTGCCCGTGCGCCATTCAAGGCGGGAAGAAAACGTCCAATAGTATTATCCGCACCTTTGTTTGGCCTTTTGCGTTGCCTGTCGACTGCGTGAGTGAATACCTGAAATCCAGGCATAATTATTTGCCCAAGAAAAGTCAAAGCGAAAAGTGAGGCGGGAAGTATCAGTCTACCTACCTTACGCTGTGCCGGTCTGACTATTCGGTGTGGGGGATTGGGATTCCAAGAGAGCACAACAACTGAACGTAGATCCGTGATCCGTCCCTTCAGGCTGTTATTGTTGTGTGTAAGTAGATGATGGCGATGGCGAAAAGGTTGACGGGTCCTGTAACGCAGGTGTCATGAGTTCAGGTAGGGACCCCAAATCTACAACTCTAGATGCCTTAAGCTACCGCACTGAACCCTGCTTCTTCTGCTTGCTCGATCGGGACCTGGGTGTCTTAGTCTTGGGTCGCCCATGCACGCAAGCCGCAGGCGGCAGCACACGTAACTACTAGGGCATATCCAACAACAGGCCGGCATGCCATATGAGGCTTAACCAGCAAGTACGGTATGTATGGCATCGATCGCATCGCGCATCCGCATTGTATGGAGCCGGCGGAGGAAAAGCGGACAAGAGGTTTTTTCTCGGACTACGGACACAGTATATTCATACTTCTCCCTTCGCACCGGGTGCAACACTTCTCACGCTTCTTTCCGGCCAGGTAGATTTATTCTGAAATGCCCTGAAAACGGTAGGTAGAGACTACACCCTACCTTCGACTGGACAAATGTTGTTGCGCATATCTCAAAGTCAAGCCATTTTTGCTTCCCAAATCCCTCCTTTACACAGAAGTCGAGTGGCGGTCAGGGATGCACGGCTAAATGGTGTGGTTGAGGACCACAGGACGAGACGGGATGAGACGGACGACGGGAGTCTAAGTCATTAAACTATTTCGTCAACGCTGCTGTTCGGATTCGGTCCTGAGCGGGCAGGATTGGCAAACCCCGAAGAGAGTATATCGTGGAGGGCAAAGTCTTCAACCGTCTGTCTTCGGTTGTCAAACTCTTAAACTCTAGAGTTGAAGAGTCAAGAATCAATTTATCCTTAAACGGAGGAAGTCAGTCATAAGGTAAGGTAGGTACCTGCAATAGGTACCCGATCAGATGTGCGGACATGGAGGAAAGGGACTGGACCGTTGGTTGATCACGAGCGTGCCTGCTGCAATGGTACACGATTTCGAGATTGACGGCAAGAGCTCAGGTTGAGGTGGGCTTTGGAGGAAAGGGCCTGTTTGGTTGGCACCTGCACCGGGGTGTTTCTTGCCTTCCGCTTGTCGTGCTTGCTTTCCCTTGGGCCCTTCCTTCCCCAACCCACATCTGCACGCTCGTCTGGTTCCAGAATCCCACTTGTCCTTGGGCCATTTCCATTCGTCTGCGGGATCAGAGTCTACGTACCTACCTAGGTATCCGTACCTTAGCGGACGGAGCAAGGAACCTTACGGAGTACGTCCCACCTGTCTAGGGCCCCAAGGGGGAAGAAATAAAATAACACAAGTTCGTACCCCACCTCTGTTGGATGCGTCAACAACCATGAACCATCAATCGTCAACCATCAACTATTAATTCTCGGGCCTCTCACAATTTGCTGTCTCCGGACAGTCAACAGCCAGCCATCTATGTATGGTCACTCGATTGCGCCTGCACCTGCACCTGGCCATTGTTCTCATCGCACCACCTTCGACACATCGGATCAGCCCGACTAGCAACATTGTGATTGGTGCACCAGAGAGTCACTGGACCTAGCTTCGACGCATCCGATCAACGACTCCCCCGTGTCTCGACCCTCTCGGATTGTCCTTCTGGACGCAGGGCAGGGGCAGAGGGGCTTGTTGAACACACCGAGAGACACTTGCACCAGTGACGGATGGAGAAGACGAACGACTGCCACGTCCCCATCCAATCGATCACTGGTATTCCCAGTTTCCCGCACCTCTCCCAGACCTGAGACTGCCTCTTACGGACACCACACAGATCAACACTGGGTCTGGACTTCTTCTCTACCCGCGAGCCGTCCCCACCGATCCATCCTGTCTTCCCGCTACGCCCTTCATCGCTGCATTCCCGGTACCTGACACACACCCACACACGGATACCGGTACACAGCAGAGGTGACCTCGGTGGCCTAAGCCGAATCCACTACGAATTAGTATCGACCGAGTATCTGCTCACCAGCCGATTCCACTGACAACCTGTTTTCCGACCATTTCCCGGATACCTCACGCACACTCTGTATTCTCTCTGCCAGCTCTTCAGCCACGCGCTTCTCTCTAACTCGACTTGGCTGTCGGAGTATCGCCTTTCAGTACCTAGCATCTCAGCCACCTTGGCTCACAACTTTTTCAAGTTCAGAGTACGGAGTACCTTCCTTGGTCCCCTACGGCTACAGTGTACCGTAAACGACCCGATCTAACTGTCTGCGGCTGTGACTTCCACTCTATTCCTGCTCCAGTCGGGCCTACCACACTGCCTTGCGTTACGGGGAACCCTGGTTGCCTGCTTGCTTAGGTTGTCTGTTCTTCTCTGCCGACCCTGTGGACGGTGTTGCTGGCCCCCTCCTGCCATTGTAACGGACCACGAGTGTCACCCGGCCGATAAAAGTCCGATTCGGCTCACCTTCTTCTTCTTCTTCTTTCAGAAGTCGATGCAATACCACCGCCGCCTCCATACCAGTCTAGCCCAGCCCAATTCGGCCCAGTCTGCCTGGTGGCTAGTTTCCCAGTCTCTCTGCAGTGTCTGCACGAATACCTACACCATTGCGATAAGCTCGACAATCCCGACCCTGTCAGAGAGGGTTCGACCCAAGAAGGCGAGAAACGAATAAAGGACGAAGACAGCTTCTCGAGACTGGAGACTGGCGAGACTGGCCCAGATTCTCGTGTCTTTCAGAATTTGGACAACTGCTCTTCACCCTCTCCCTCTCTCTCTCTCACTCCAGAGTAGTAGTACTGCGTAAGTCATCCAGCGGCCTTTCCGTCTCCTTTCGCGTTGTTTCCCCGGTCTTCTTGCCGTACCTTGGCCATGTTCTTGTCACGTAGTAGGGACAAAGGACTTAGCCCTTGCTGTCATCTGCCGTGGCGCGTTCTTGTCCAGGTCAGTGTATGTGTACAGTCTCAATTTCGATTGGAAAACCCCAGTCCATAACACCAGCCTTCCTAGGGCCTCATTGAGGTGCCGCTATCAGTGTCACTGTCAGTGTCGCTGTCTTGGGCAGCTCTGCTGCTCCTATGGAAGATTTGGCCTACTGTCCATGGTTCTAGAGGTGGTGCAGTCTGGCGCCAACTTGACATTCGCTCCCTCGCATCATGCTCCCGTCGCGCCCTCATTTCGTACTCTGTACACTTTTCTGCCCGGGAAGTAATTACCGTCGGCGTTTTTTTGTGGCCGAGCGCGGTGTGTAAATGTTCACCAGCCATCGTTGGCTGATGTGTCTACCTCTTCTTTCCTTTGACCAATTCCATCTTTTCCCGCTGTATCTTACATGGCTTCTCTGGTCTTGAATTTGGTAGTAGCAGTAGTAGTTGCACACATGATTTCCATCTACTCTGCTAATATGCAGGCTGCGGCAACTTCATCTGACCTTGACGCAAGGACTTAGCTTCCGGTACTTCCAACTAGTACGCAGTAGGCCTCCTAGACGGCCAGCACTTGGTAGTGGTAGGTACCCTCTCTCTTGCTTTGTACCTGCTTCAAGGTTGAGAGGGTCGACCGATTCACTGTCCCAGGCCCCCACCAGACGGACGGTCGACCACTTTTCATTGTCCCTAGTAACCTGCACATACGAAATACCCCTGGCCACTGCCAGCCCCGAATCCTAGCTTGGTCCAGGTTCAGGCCCTAGGTTCCGCGGCGGCAGCAGCGCAGCGCAGCAGAGAAGACGTGCAGCGGTATCCGTACGGGCCATCAGCGACAATTGCGGGAGCTGTATGCATAGCGTAGGTGCGTGGGTACTCTGTACGGATAGGGAATTCAACAAGCAGGCTGGAGAAAACAGAAAGAGAGAGTGTGAGTGAGAAAGAAAGAA